GAAGAATGAAAGAAAGGAATGTTAAAGATAAAGGTACAAAGAATGAAGGGATGGATAAAGGGTAAGAGACCATAGAATGATACAAAGAATGAAGGGGTGGTCAAAGGAATGGAATGATGAAGTAAGGAAGGGTAGTGGCAAGAGTCAGCACGCATATAGTTCATAGACAGTGCCCCTGAGGGACAGAAGTCCTGAGTTCTGGTATGGAAGGGTGTGGAACCCTTGGAACTGAAGGTACAAGAGCAGAGAACTGTAACAGGTATAAGTTAGAACAGTAGGGCTTGGAAATCTGTAAGGCTGAGTTTGTGTAGAGTACTAGTATGATACTGATAGAAATCTCAGATTGTCTTAAGAGTATAGGCAAGGTTCTTAGCAGGTTCCCAAGTGTACTCCTTAACTGAGTACCCTTTCTAGTGAACAAGGAATTTGAGTTTTCTATATAGTAGCTTAGTATTGAAACAATCAGCATTACACTAAGAACTACACATCACATGCAGACAATCACAGCAATCAATTCTGAACACCCATGTGACTCATAGAAGCCTACTTTGAGAACACTCAACTATTCCACATTGTAAGCATTTGTAAACAGAACTGCAAGCATGCACAGTCTCAGAATTGGCTTACACACATTGTTTTCTCTACAGGATGTATGGATTATGTACTTATCACAGGCTCAGAACACAAGTTGTGTCACAGTGAGTGGCTCAGCAAACCATTATGTCATTATCACCCAGATCAAAGTACTACAATCTTTCAATCAGATAGGACATTGGGGCAATCAAAGTGTTGATCTCAGGAGACTGTCAGAAATCTCAGAACTCTCTACACTTTGTCTGTACCAATCAGATGATAACAGTATGAGAACCTTCTACTTCTTTTGATGTAAATCTTGCTTTTCCCTTTTGTATAACATTTCCTGTAGCTAGAATGCAGACCACTTAAATTTTCCTCATACATTTTCACCCTATTTTCTTCCAACCTCTGGCAAAAGGTTCTCTTATTTGTTCTTGTATATTTTGTTATTTTTCTTTTGTTCAGTGATGACATTTCCCTGTTAGTACTATGCTTTTCCAGAACTCAGAAAACTATAAATACAGCTACTCATGTACTAGATACAGGGGGAATTCAGATAGTTCACCTATTGATTTAGCTCTTGTCTCTTATCTTAAAGTCCTCTAGTATAAGGCATAGTCTTAGTCTTTGTTGTTTTTCTGTATCAGATTGTTTGTTGTGTACTTTATAAAGTGTACTTTCTGTTATTCACATCTCTGTTCCAAACTAATTGTCCTGATTAGTAAACATAAGGCTTGGTCAGCAGTATAGGTATAGGTCAGAACAGTAGAGCTTAGAAATCTATAAGGCTGAGTTTGTGTAGAGTACTAGGATGAAGCTGATAGAAATCTTGGATTGTCTTAAGAGTATAGGTAAGGTTCTTAGTAGGTTCCTAAGTGTGCTCCTCAACTAGGTACCCTTTCTAGTAAACAAGGAATTTGAGTTTTCTGTATAGTAGTTTAGTATCTACTATGTACTCTACTTTATATTCTAGTTCAGAGCTAATAAGTTCTAGTAGAGGTAGAGAGGGTCTTTATTATAAAGGAAAACTGGGATCATAGTACTAAGACAACAGAACCTTATTAAACACTAGGTGTATGTACTTTCATATTGTTAGAAGTTAGAGTTTGTAAGTAGAGGTACTAACCTTCTTTTTAATGACAAAGGGTCTGAAGCACTTGTTGTCCAACTTCTTTATTAGACAATCCAAGGTTAGATTAGTAGTTTCTAGTATAACCTTGTTACTAGACTAGTAATCCTTAGCTGTAGACCTCTTCCAATTATAGTTCTACTTTATAACCTATACTACCTTCTCTAAAAGAGCTCATACATCCTTCCTAGTTCTGTACATCTGTTCTACAAAGTTTGTTATAGATTCAGAACTACTGTTCTGGTTCAGAACTGTCTCCTAGTATAAATGTCTCTTATAATTGAGGAAGAATAGAGATTGTCCTGTTACAGAGTGTTACTAGTTATTGTACACAAATTCTGCTAGAGCTAACTATTCAGACTAATCTGATTACTAATGATTGATGAACATTTAGAGGTAGAGCTTAATCTCTTGATTGACTCACTCAGTTTGACTGTCAGTCTGTAAGTAATATATAGTAGAAAGGTTCTCTTAAATTCTGAGAAGTACATACAAGTCCTGTATGAATTTCAACTCAAATTACAGTCTACAATTGTGAATGAGCTTCTGAGGGAGTCTATACAACCAGAAGATGTAATCCTAATAAATGTACACTATACCTTTAGAAGTGAGTTCTGTTCAGGTTAGAACTATATAGACTTGTTTAGAGAATCAGTCAACAATTATATAGATAGTATTGTAACCCTGAGACTCAGGTAGCTTACTAATCAGGTCTACTGAGACTTCTTCCTAAGAGTAATCTAGGATTCAATACAGATGTAGGAGAGTCTAAACCCTTGTCTGGTAGGCTTTAGTCTATTAGTACATATTGTAACTAGTTATATACTTTAGGATTTCTCTCTACATTCCTAACTACTAGTAGTTCTAAGTAATGAGTTCTTATATTTTGTGTTGGCCCAAATGTCCTACAGTCAGATTGTTATAATAAGCTCAGACAATGTCCTCCTACAGCTTCTAATCCTTTAGAACATATAGTCAGTCCTTCTAGTAAACTTACCTATTCTTATCCTCCTCCTAATCCTTAGCCTACTTCTCTAACTGTTTCACTATAACCTAGTCCTATATGTGTTTTAGAGCTTACTGTATATAAGTAACAAAGTTAACATTCTTAGATTTGAGTCAGATCTCTTGGATTGTCTCAGACATGAAACAGGAATTGTTTAGGAGAACAAGATTTTTGTTATCATTCTCCCTCCTTTTATAACTTACTTGTCTTAAGAGTAAATTAGTTTTTGTTATTTGTGTTCTAAGTTTGTAGGTTAGTATAAAGTCAAAGTCCTACAGTTCTAACATTTAGCAGGCTTAGTAGTAGTTAAGCTTCTGAGACACTCAGAAGTACTAGAGATTAAGGTGATTACTCTAAATCTTAAACTTCTATATAGTACTAAGGAGATATTAACACTACTCCTCTAGAGAACAGACAATTGTAAGGAGTTTCTTATTATAGATAGGGTAGTTCTGTTCTGTTGTAGAGAGGGATTCTGATCAGAATACTATTAGACACTACTTTCTGTTAATAAACTAGGACAGTACTACTCTATTTACAAAGTCAGAAGAGTTAGCTTTGACTCAGAACTTGTTTACAACTGTTAGAACTGTTAATACAGGCTTACTAGTAATAGTCTACTTGAGAGACTCAAACACAGACTACTACTAATCATCCTTTTACTAAGGAACATCTTTGCTAGTAAGATTGTGAAGGGGCCAGACAATAGTACTAAAGTCTTAAATAAAGTATTAGTAGTAGTTTACAAACTCAAGAAATGCTTAGACCTGTTTCAGGTTCTAAGGTTATAACTAGTTCCAAACTATAGTTACCTTTGCTAAATCTATACAGACCTCTCCTCTACTAATTACAAAGCTCAGATAATTTACTGACTCTTACACAAAAGAGTACTTTACTTCTTAGAGGAACAGTTTATTATCTTAGAGCTGTTATAGAACTACTTGGATTAGTTAGTAATAGTACTTAACTGTTTAGGTAAAGATTAGAATATTGTCCAGATACACACTAACATACTCTGAGTCAATCAGATCTGTAAGGATGTGATTCATGAATGACTAGAATGTTACAGACAAGTTAGTTAGTCTGAAGAACATTACAGTTAGTTTATACAATCTGTAATTGGTTTAGAATACAGTCTTCTACTCATCTCTGTCTTGGATCCAAATATTATTGTACCCTTATCAAATGTCCAACTTAGTAAAAACCCTAAATGTATACATCTTATTAATAAGCTCCTAAATCAGGGGGAGTAAGTACTTGTTTTTGACAGTACCCTTATTAAGACAATAATAATCCTAAACTAGACAGAGCTTCCTATCTTTCTTTTTAACAAAGAAGAAAGGGGAGACTATAAAGGACTTTGAGGGTTAGATCCAGCTGTTCTAAAGATTTTCCTAAAGGAACTTGTTAAGCACCTCCTACTTGTCTCTGTTGAACAGGTAGACCTTACAATCCTTAGATTAGAAACTCTCAGTCAATTCAATTGTATAGTTCTAGAGACAGTGTTTAGGAAGCTAGTCAAATTCCTCTTTACTAAAGACTTTGAGGAACTCTTAAACAAAATCTAGCAGGCTGAGTCTATGTGTGTTCTAGAGTAGAGTTGTTCTAAGAGGGTTCTAGACTGGTTCTGTCTCAGACATCCTTTAGATTGACTCTATTCTACCTTGACTAGAATATGTATTCACATATCTATCCTAGTTGAAGAAGAACAACTAGTCACCTTTATCAGAACTGTTAGTAACATTAGAAGTGTTTGTATCTACTTAGAACAGTAGTGTAAGGTAACTGTAAGACTTAGAACACTGATCAAATGTGAGTGTCTACTCTAACTAGTCAATAGTAGAGTTGTGAGCCTTAAGCCATTTGAATCTAATGAAGACATTTGTCTTTCTAAGGTTAGTGACTCTAAACTCAATACTTTCCTTATAATCCTGAATAGTCATTCATAGTTAGACAAACTTAGTAATCTAACTATTCTGGTTCAGGGTTTTGTTTACATTATATACTAGGATCAGAAGTAGAACATGTTGAGTAGGAAGGTAGTGTTCCTACACAAAGGCTTTATTAATGTACAAACTAGTGTATCTACTATTTACTAGAGTTATTATTTAGATCTGGAGGGATTCTAAGAAGGGAGTCAAGAGGACAGAGACTTAAAGCTAGTGTTTGAAACATTCTCAGATGAATTACTACTTGTTCTGAAGGGAATATACAGCTTACACAGTCTTGTTATCTAAGAGGGTAAGTATATGTACTAACATTTCCTTATTAACCTCTCTCTTTCAACAAGGACAGACCTATGTTCTTAACTGTGAACTCAGCTAAGACTATCTCTACTTGATACTATAGACAAACTACTAAGTAGTAAACAGGGCTAGATAGTATTCTAAACATTCTAAGATCTTAGAACACAGAAGTGACAGGTTGGATTGTATAGATTTAGACTCAGATAAAGTGTAAAGAGAAGAATTAAAAGAATCAGAAGAAATAGGAGAACTATCTACTTTTGTTTCCAACTTTTTTCTTTCTAATAAATAATTTTGTTAATTTATTTTTTCTACTTTTTCTACTTTTTCTACTTTTCTTACTTTATTTACTTTTAATCCTACAGTGTTTATTAAATCAAAAGTAGTTATTAAAAAATCTGAGTCATAGCCCTTTAGTACTACATTTACTGTTGAGCCTCTATAAAATCCTAGAGTATATAGTTAGAGTCTGAGAGTTCTAAGGTGACTTCCAGATTTGTAGAAAAGGCTTCTTACTACAAATCCTACTCATTACTCATTATTACTCTAATAACCTGACAGATATACTATTACTTTTATAAACAGTTCTTAATCTAGTACTCTGACTGTTTGTAAGTAAAGTATACTCCTTACTTTTAGGCTTCTCTAATGTTTATTAGAACAGATTAATTACAAATTACAGGCAGATTAATCTAAGGACTCAGAACTGTTAGAGTCAGATGTATGTACAAGCATTCTGTACAGACTTAACACATTTAAGCTGTAACTTAGTCAAAGGAGATAGTGTACATCTTCTACTTAGTGTAAGTAACTAGTTCTAGTATTATTCTGAGAATCTTATTAACTAGTTCTAAGTGAAGAGCTTTTTCAAGCATTCTAATAAGAACATTATTAAACCCAAGTATAAATCCTACCTTCTAGACTAGAATATTAAACTCTTAAAAAAAGGTATTAGTAGAATGTTTGCCCTGTCACAGAGACACAAGCTTGTTCTATACATTATACTTCTTATTCAGATTAATAAAGGAAGTACAGAGTTACCTTATAAATTCTAAGTACAACTCATTGTTCTGAAGTTAAATTAGACTTCTAATCTAATAACCTTTAATCTAGTTCTAAGCCTAGGTGGCTGTGTTGCCTTCCTTTATAAAGGAGAGGACAAATAGGATGTGATTAAGATCTGAGAATAGATTAGTCAAAGTAGTAGCTACATATAGTTTGACTTAGTACTAGAAGTCCTTAAAGTGCTACTTATTAAAGTCTAAAGGGTAAACTATGTGTACTTTCTTTTTAGAACAAGTTGTAACTTCTAGAACAACTAGAACAGGTTCTAAAGGAGTTAAGAGTATATAGTTAGTAAAGGCCTTTTAGATAGAGGTCTACATGTATTAAGTTAGTTCTACTTATAACTACTAATCTAGTAGGACAGTAGAGGTAGTAGTTAGTATAGAAGGGTTTATATTTATACTATAAAGGAATTAGTACTAAACTAAAAGGGGTAATAAATAGAAGAAGGGTGGCAAAAGTTTAAAAGGGTTTAGAAAGTTTAAAATTTAAAAATGTAAAAGAGTTAGGACAAAGAAAAGAGATTAACACAATAGTAAGTACTAATACTCAAAATGTAAGAGAGTTGTAGGGTAGTAATGAGTAGTCTTAATCTAATGTTAGTAACAGTATAGAGGGGACCTGAAGGCTCAGTAAGGGGACTTAAGCTATAACTATTCTACACAATAGAAATACAGAATGTAAGTACTAAAACATAGTTAGAACTTGTAGAACAGACAGAGAGAGAGAGTAAGACAAGAGTAGAGTATATAGAGTAAGTCTAAGAGTACAGGACTATCTAGAGTAGATAAGATCAAGACTACAGGACTAGTCTGATCTTATATACTTATATATACTAAACTATACAAGAGTACTCAGAAAGTATGAACTACTAAAAATAATAAGCTATAAAGAATAAAAGAAAGGAAGGTCAAAGATAAAGGTACAAAGAATAAAAGGATAGACAAAGGGTAAGAGACTATAGAATGAATAAAGAATAAAGGGATAGTTAAAGGAATAGAATAATAAAGTAAGAAAGAGTAATAGTAAGAGTTAGTATACATATAGTTTATAGACAGTACTTTTAAGAGACAGAAGTCCTGAGTTCTAGTATAGAAGGGTGTAGAACTCTTAAAACTAAAGGTATAAGAGTAGAGAACTGTAACAGTCATTAAAAAGAAGGTTAGTGTCTCTGTTTACAAACTCTAACTTCTAACAATATAAAAGTGTATACACTCAGTGTTTAATAAGGTTCTATTGTCTTAGTATTATAATCCTAGTTTTCCTTTATAACAAAGACCCTCTCTACTGTTACTAGAACTTATTAGCTCTAAACTAGAATACAAAGTAGAGTATATAGTAGATACTAAGCTGTTACACAGAAAACTCAAATTCCTTATTTACTAGAAAGAGTACTTAGTTAAGGAGTATACTTAGGAACCTGTTAAGAACCTTACTCATACTCTTAAGACAATCTGAGATTTCTATCAGCTTTATCCTAGTACTCTGTACAAACTCAGTCTTATAGATTTCCAAGCCTTACTATTCTAACTTATGTTTAAGCTACTAACTAAGCTCTATGTTTACTAATCAGAATGATTAGTTTTAGAGGGAGGGTAATGTTACAATTCTCTACTCTTATACCTTTAGTTCTAAGAGTTTTACACTCTTCTATACTAGAACTCAGGACTTCTGTCCTTTAAGAGTACTATCTATAAACTATATACATACTAACTCTTACTACTACCTTTTCTTACTTTATTATTCTATTCCTTTAACTACCCCTTTATTCTTTATTTATTCTATAGTCTCTTACTCTTTGTCTATCCCTTTATTCTTTATACCTTTATCTTTAACCTTCCCTTTCTTTCATTCTTTATAACTTATCATTCTTAGTAACTTATACTCTCTGAGTACTCTTGTATAGTTTAGTATATATAAGTGTATAAGATCAGACTAGTCCTGTAGTCTTAATCTTATTTACTCTAGATAGTCCTATACTCTTAGACTTACTCTATATACTTTACTCTTGTCTTACTCTCTCTCTCTACCTGTTCTGTAAGTTCTAACTATGTTCTAATACTTATATTCTGTATTTCTGTTGTGTAAAATAGTTGTAGCCTGAGTCCCCTTACTAAGCCTTTAAGTCCCCTTTATACTGTTACTAATACTAATTCTAGTATATAATATAGACAGAACTCTAAACTAGAATAGTCAGATTACTAAGTTTGTCCAACTATAAATAACTATTTAGGATTATAAGGAAAGTATTGAGTTCAGAGTTACTAACCTTAGAAAGACAGACATCTTTATTAGATTCAAATAGTTTAAAGCTTACAACTCTATTATTAACTAGTTAGAGTAAACACTTACATTTGATTAGTGTTCTAAGTCTTGTAACTATCTTATACTACTATTCTAAGTAGATACAAACACTTCTAATGTTACTAACAGTTCTAATAAAGGTGACTAGTTGTTCTTCTTTAACTAGGATAAATATATAAATACATATTCTAGTTAAGGTAGAATAGAGTTAATTTAAAAAATGTTTAAAACAAAACTAGTTTAAAACTCTCTTAGAATAACTCTACTCTAAAACACACATAGACTCAGTCTACCAGATTTTGTTTAAGAGTTCTCTAAAGTTTTTAGTAAAGAGGAATTTGACTAACTTTCTAAACACTATCTCTAAGACTATACAATTGAATTGACTAAGAGTTTCTAACTTAAGGATTGTAAGGTTTACCTACTTAATAGAGACAAGTAGAAAGTACTTAACAAGTTCCTTTAGGAAAATCTTTAGAATAGTTAGATCCAACCCTTAAAGTCCTTTATAGTCTCCTCTTTCTTCTTTATTAAAAAGAAAGATAAGAAGCTCTACTCAGTCTAGAATTATTATTATCTTAATAAGAGTACTGTTAAAAACAAGTACTTACTCCTTCTAATTTAGGAGCTTATTAATAAGACACATACATTTAGAGTTTTTACTAAGTTAGATGTTTAATAAGGATATAATAATATTTGGATCTAAGACAGAGATGAGTAGAAGACTGTATTCTAAACTAATTACAGATTGTACAAACTAACTATAATATTCTTCAGACTAACTAACTTGCTTACAACATTCTAGTTATTTATGAATTACATTCTTACAGATCTGATTAACTTAGAGTATGTTAGTATGTATCTAAACAACATTCTAATCTTTACTTAGATAGTTAAGTACTATTACTAACTAATCTAAACAGTTCTATAATAGTTCTAAGATAATAAACTGTTTCTCTAAGAAGTAAAGTACTCTTTTGTATAAGAGTCAGTAAATTATCTAAACTTTGTAATTAGTAGAGGAGAGGTCTGTATGGATCCAACAAAAGTAACTATAGTTTAGAACTGGTTACAACTTTAGAACCTAAAACAAGTCTAAGTGTTTCTTAAGTTTGTAAACTACTACTAATACTTTATTTAAAGTTTTAGTACTATTATCTAGCCCCTTCACAATCTTACTAGTAAAGATGTTTCTTAGTAATAGAATGATTAGTAACAGTCTGTGTTTGAGTCTCTTAAGTAGACTATTACTAACAAGCTTGTATTAGTAGTTCTAATAGTTATAAACAAGTTTTAAGTTAAAGCTAACTCTTCTAACTTTATAAATAGAGTAGTACTGTTTTAGTTTATTAACAGAAAGTAGTGTCTAATAGTGTTCTAATTAGAATCCTTCTCTGTAACAGAATAGAACTACTCTATCTATAATAAGGAACTCCTTACAATTGTCTGTTCTCTAAAGGAGTAGTATTAATATCTTCTTAGTATTATATAAAAGTTTAAAATTTAGAGTAATTACTTTAATCTCTAGTACTTTTAAGTACCTTAGAAGCTTAACTACTATTAAGCTTACTAGATGTTAGAACTATAGAACTGTAACTTTATACTAACTTATAAACCTAGAACACAAATAATAAAAGCTGACTTACTCTCAAGATAAGTAGGTTATAAAAGGGAAGAGAATAATAATAAAAATCTTGTTCTCCTAAACAATTCCTATTTTGTGTTCAAGACAATCTAAGAGATCTGACTCAAATTCAAGAATGTTAACTTTATTACTTATATATAGTAAGCTCTAAGACACATACAGAACTAAGTTATAGTAAAGTAGTTAGAGAAGTAGACTAAGAATTAGAAGAAGAATAAGAATAAACAGGTTTACTAGAAAGGCTAACTGTACATTCTAAAGGATTAGAAACTGTAAGAGAACATTGTCTAAGCTTATTATAACAATCTGACTATAGAACATTTAGACTAACACAAAATGTAAGAACTTATTACTTAGAACTATTAGTAGTTAGGAATACAGAGAGAAATCCTAAAGTATATAACTAGTTATAATATGTACTAATAAACTAAAGCTTACTAGACAAGGGTTTAGACTCCTCTACATTTGTATTAGATTCTAGATCACTCTTAGGAAGAAGTCTTAGTAGACCTGATTAGTAAGCTACTTAAGTCTTAGAGTTATAATACTATTTGTATAATTGTTAACTAATTCTTTAAACAAGTTTACACAGTTTTAACTTGAACAGAACTTACTTCTAAAAGTATAGTGTACATTTATTAGGATTATGTCTTTTAGTTGTATAGACTCTCTTAAAAGCTTATTCATAATTACAGACTATAATTTGAGTCAAAATTTATATAAGACTTATATATACTTTTTAGAATTTAAGAGAACCCTTCTACTATATATTACTTACAGACTAACAGTTAAACTGAGTAAGTTAATTAGGAGATCAAGCTCTACCTCTGAATATTCATTAATCATTAGTAATCAGATTAGTCTGAATAGTTAGCTTTAACAGAATTTGTGTATAATAACTAACAACACTCTATAACAGGACAATCCCTATTCTTCCTCAATTATAAAAGACATTTGTACTAGAGAACAGTTTTAAACTAGAACAGTAGTTCTGAATCTGTAACAGACTTTGTAAAACAAATGTATAGAACTAGGAAGAACACATAAGCTCTTTTAAAGAAGGTAGTATAGGTTATAAAGTAGAACTATAATTAGAAGAGGTCTATAGCTAAGAATTACTAGTCTAGTAATAAGATTATACTAGAAGCTACTAATCTAACCTTAAATCACTTAATAAAGAAGTTAGACAACAAGTACTTTAAACCCTTTATTATTAAAAAGAAGGTTAGTACTTTTACTTATAAACTCTAACTTCTAACAACATAAAAGTGTATATACTTAGTATTTAATAAGGTTCTATTGTCTTAGTACTATAATCCTAGTTTTCCTTTATAATAAAGACTCTCTCTACCTTTATTAGAACTTATTAGCTCTAAACTAGAATACAAAGTAGAGTATATAGTAAATACTAAGCTACTATATAGAAAACTCAAATTCCTTGTTTACTAGAAAGGGTACCTAGTTGAGGAGTATACTTAAGAACCTACTAAGAACCTTACTCATACTTTTAAGACAATCTAAGATTTCTATTAGTTTTATCCTAGTACTCTACACAAACTCAGTCTTATAGATTTCTAAACTCTACTATTCTAACTTATACTTAAGCTACTAACTAAGTCTTATGTTTACTAATCAGAATGATTAGTTTTAGAGGGAGGGTAATGTTACAGTTCTCTACTCTTATACCTTTAGTTCTAAGAGTTTTACACTCTTCTATACTAGAACTCAGGACTTCTGTCTCTTAAGAACACTGTTTATAAACTATATGTGTACTAACTCTTACTACTACCCTTCCTTACTTTATTATTCTATTCCTTTGACTACTCCTTCATTCTTTGTTTATTCTATAGTCTCTTACCCTTTGTTTATCCCTTTATTCTTTATTCCTTTATCTTTAACCTTCTCTTTCTTTCATTCTTTATAACTTATTATTCTTAGTAGCTTATACTCTCTAAGTACTCTTGTATAGTTTAGTATATATAAGTATACAAGATTAGACTAGTTTTATAGTCTTAATCTTATTTATTCTAGATAGTCCTATACTCTTAGACTTACTCTATATACTCTACTCTTGTCTTACTCTCTCTCTCTACCTGTTCTACAAGTTCTGACTATGTTCTAGTACTTACATTCTGTATTTCTGTTGTGTAGGATAGTTGTAGTCTAGGTCCCCTTGTTAAGCCTTTAGGTCCTCTTTACACTATTACTAACAAGTTAGTTTTAACTTAGAACTTGTTTACAACTGTTAAAACTACTAATATAAGCTTACTAGTAATAGTCTACTTAAGAGACTTAAATACAAACTACTACTAATTATCCTATTACTAAGGAACATTTTTACTAGTAAGATTGTGAAGGGGCTAAGTAATAGTACTAAAGTCTTAAATAAAGTATTAGTAGTAGTTTACAAACTTAAGAAATACTTAGACCTGTTTCAGGTTCTAAAGTTGTAACTAGTTCTAAACTATAGTTACCTTTACTAGATTCATACAGACCTCTCCTCTACTAATTACAAAACTTAAATAATCTACTAACTTTTATATAAAAGAGTACTTTACTTTTTAGAGAAACAGTTTATTATTTTAGAACTATTATAGAACTATTTAGATTAGTTAGTAATAGTACTCAATTATTTAAGTAAAGATTAGAATGTTGTTTAAATACATACTAACATACTCTAAGTTAATTAGATTTGTAAGAATGTAATTTATAAATGATTAGAATGTTATAAGTAAATTAGTTAGTTTAAAGAATATTATAATTAGTTTGTACAATCTGTAATTAGTTTAGAACACAGTCTTCTACTTATTTCTGTCTTAAATCCAAATATTATTGTATCCTTATTAAATGTCTAACTTAGTAAAAACTCTAAATGTATATGTCTTATTAATAAGCTTCTAAATTAGAAGGAGTAAGTACTTGTTTTTAATAGTACCTTTATTAAGATAATAATAATTCTAAACTAGGTAAAGCTTTTTATCTTTCTTTTTAATAAAGAAGAAAGAAGAGACTATAAAGAACTTTAAAGGTTAAATCTGACTGTTTTAAAGATTTTCCTAAAGAAACTTGTTAAGTACTTTCTACTTGTCTCTATTAAGTAAGTAGACCTTACAATCCTTAAGTTAGAAACTCTTAGTTAATTCAATTGTATAGTTCTAAGAATAGTGTTTAGAAAGTTAGTTAAATTCCTCTTTACTAAAGACTTTAAGAAACTCTTAGATAAAATCTGACAGACTAAGTTTATATGTATTCTAGAGTAGAGTTGTTCTAAGAGAGTTCTAAACTAGTTCTGTCTTAAACATTCTTTAGATTGATTCTATTCTATCTTAACTAGAATATGTATTTACATATCTATTCTAATTAAAGAAGAACAACTAGTTACCTTTATTAGAACTGTTAGTAACATTAGAAGTATTTGTATTTACTTAGAACAGTAGTATAAAGTAATTATAAGACTTAGAATACTAATTAAACATAAGTGTCTACTCTAACTAGTTAATAGTAGAGTTGTAAGTCTTAAACTATTTGAATCTAATAAAGATGTCTGTCTTTCTAAAGTTAGTAACTCTAAACTTAATACTTTCCTTATAATTCTAAATAGTTATTTATAGTTAGACAAACTTAGTAATTTAACTATTCTAGTTTAGAGTTCTGTCTACATTATATACTAGGATTGAAAGTAGAACATATTAAGTAGAAAGGTAGTGTTTCTATATAAAAGCTTTATTAATATACAAACTAGTACATTTACTATTTACTAGAGTTATTATTCAGATTTAAAAGGATTCTAAGAAGAGAGCTAAGAGGATAAAGACTTAGAGCTAGTACTTAGAACATTCTCTAATAAACTACTACTTGTTCTAAAAGGAATATACAGTTTGTACAGTTTTGTTATTTAAGAGAGTAAGTATATATACTAACATTTCCTTATTAACCTCTCTCTTTTAACAAGGACAGACTTATGTTCTTAGTTGTAAACTTAACTAAGACTATTTCTACTTAATACTATAAACAAACTACTAAGTAGTAAACAGGACTAAGTAGTATTCTAAAATCTTAGAATATAGAAATAGTAAGTCAGATTGTACAGATTTAAACTTAGACAAAGTGTAAAGAGAAGAATTAAAAGAATTAGAAGAAATAAGAGAACTATCT